CTGCCACGATACCTTTAACACCATCAAACAACAACATCTGCCTATCCCAGGTCCTTGGGAAGGCCTCGATAGGTGGATAAAAATGCCAAATCCAGTAAACATCTGGCTGACTGTGCGACATCATCATCATCATCATCATCATCATCATCATCATCATCATCTATTAAACTTGTATGCCACCTGGCTCTTCAACGACTCTGGGTGGCTCACAACAACCAAACAAAGAAACTACAATAACAGTAAAAGATAAAAGATAAAGATAAAAGATGGCAAGTTCAATGAAGCAAGGGGTCTCATTTTCCCTCATGAAAGGCCTAGTTGAAGAGCTAGGCCTCATGGCTCTTCTGAGCAACAGCAGAATGGGGACCATCTGGATCGGGGGGGGGGGAGAGCCTAGTTTCAGAGGGTAAGTGCTGCTACCGAGAAGGTGGACTTCAGGGGTCCCAAAAGATGACATTGTTTAATTGAAGGAACCCAGAGCATGCCAACCCTGCAGGACTTAATTGGCAGATGCTATGGGAGACCAGTGCAGTTGATAAGATATATAATAAGATTCCACACAGCAAGCTTGCTAATTCCTAGTCAACATTCGAAGAACCAAAGTAATGAAGAATCTTGTGGGATCTTAAAATTTTAGGGCATTGAGAACCGAAATGTAAAATGTCTAGATGGTAGACTGAATTGTAGCACTTCTGATTGCGTACGGTGAATATAACTTCACCCTACTTCTCCAAGTAAAATCTGTCTGCAAATAGAAAATTAGGATCTTAGGGGGAAAAAAACCCTGCCCTTAGACTGCCATATCAGTTTCCTATTTGCAAAGAATGTTTGAAGATAAGGGGAAAAGTGATTCCACACTTGCACCCAAGTATAGCAGTCTGTTGGTGTATCTAACAACCGTGCCAAGGCAAGGAAGACAATGCAGAATTGATCTCTTGGAAAAATTAATCAACTGAGCAATAAATTAGACTATAAAACAAAATCTGATTTCTTATATTTGCATAATGTACTTTTGATTCCCCACAGAATATAAACACTGATCCTGGACAGTATAATCTTTTCCCTCCTCCAGTTCCCACTTTTCCAACTAAGTAAGTATACTTTCTAATCTAGTTTTCTTTTTAAACAGATTATTTTGGCATGTGAAGTCTTTACAGTATATTTCTTCATTTTGGCTGCATTTCCAAGCGGTAGCATATCCCTTGTCTGAGGCCAGAGCATTGTGGCCAGAGGCCAGAATAGATTCTTGCTGATTTTCATAAAAGATTATCCTTTTTCAAGATCCTGTCTTGTTGGATAGATGCCTTTCATTTTCTCTGAGGGTGATGCAAAAAGTCAGCAAGAGACAGGGGTGCTAAAAGAAGTGGCAAGAAGAAAAAGAAGTGGTCAGAGCAATTGTTCATCTTGCCATGACGGTCTGTTACAGGGGGAAGGCCACGTACTGCCTTCCAGATTTTTGGGACTGTACCTCTCATAAGCCCAGCCAGAAGGACTAGTGGTTGAAAATAATGGAAAGAGTCATCCAAACATCTGACAGGCAGTTGGTTGTCTATCCTTGTCTTACTCTGCTCACCTTACTGTGATGAGTTGGAAAAATAAACTGCATCACCATATAAATAGTTGGGAAAAATACAGATTTTCAAAGGCATGTTTGGGTTAAAGGTGGATTATAGACTTACCACAAGGAGGAAGGGCTGGTCCTAGAATGCTCTGGGGAGTCACAGACACACGTCTCCAGCAACACTGGGCCTTGGATCGCCAACTATTCTGGCATATTATTAAAGCCAGGCTCTTTCGTGGATGAAAGATCAAGGAATGGAATTTAGTATGTATTTGTCTACTTTAAAAATAATTACATGTACACATGCCAGTTGCAGTTGTAACTTTATGAAGTTACATCTATGTAGCTTATAACAATCAGTTCAACATAATTTCTCTTGACTGTAGGCCTGGACCTTCCTTTAAGTCTCATCATTATTCTAGGATGGCCTTAGTCATCATTTCCCTCCACTTGACTTCAGCTGGATGGTGAGAAAAGAGTTACAGGTCAATAGCCTGGAAATATGCTGGAGTTAAAAAGAGGTTAAATGCTGATGTTAAAGTAACTTTGGCCTCAACTGATTTCCAACACTTTCAAATGATCCCTGGCAATGGATTTCCCAAGTTAAAACCAATGCAATAAAAGCTAATTATTAAAACAGTACAATACAATACAGCTATTAAAACAACTAGCAATAAAAAAATTCAATACAAATTAAAATCAATTCAGTTTTAAAACCATTAAGGCTTCCTAAACAAAACGTTTTCATAGCAGACACCTGCATACAAACATGGACACAATTCATATCCTACCTCATTACCCACCAAGCTTAGCAGAAGAGGATGTTTTGAACTTGAATCTTCTTAAGTTGGTCCAAGATTCAAATCTCTACGACACAGCCTCTCTCAGCTTTAGCCATTTGGGAGACGGCCATTAAGAGGGCAAGGTGGATCTTCCTGAAAAAGGTTTTGAAGAAGATTGAGTTGGGAGTGAGGTTGGTAAAGGCCGTTCAAGGGCTCCTTTGCATATGCTGGACTGTACCCAGAGGCATAGGAGCCTATGTTCTGTACATTGACAAAGAAGAAGCCTTAATCCATTGAGATGCAGATAAAATTAAAATCCCCAATTTTTACTAAAACTAGTGTTGTTTCAAAAGAACCTAAATGCTGAAATATTTTCATTTTCTCTCCTTTCTCTAAATGTAGGAATTATATGTTTCGATCTGCAGTTCAGAGACTTCCCATTTTCCTCCCGGTAAGGTCTACTAATTAGTGACTATAAAATGTTGGGGTTTCAAGCAAAGAGAAAAAAAATCCACTCTTAAATGTTTCTTTTCTGCAAAATGAACCTTTAATATTTTGGCTTCCCAACTCTGAAACTTGAACATTTAGCCTTCCTGGGAATAGTTAGACTTTTCAGGACTAGCCCTAACATTCCCTGAGGCAGTGAGACAGCTGTCAACTTTGCACCCACCACTTAGGTGTACATGCTATGTAAATATCTCAGTGGCTTTGGCGGGTGTCCTTGGAGAGGCACCCTTCCCCTATGGATTATAGTGCTTAGAGTATAAGATTATACTCCTTGGAGGCAATCAGTAAGTACCAGCAAATATATGGCAGTCACCATATTTCAGCTAGTTTCCCATCAGAACTGTGAAACTTACGAGATTATGATGTTGTTGGTTGATACGATGGGTATACGAAATTGACCAGCAAGTAGGCAATTAGCATGGGGAGAATGTGAGGGAGGAGATGCCATCACTGATGCTCTCTTTCAAAGGATTAGCAGTCAAGAAAGAACTGATTTCTTTTCTTTTTTTTAAAAAAAAGCCATATATCATATGCATGGGAACCAAAGGACGATGTTGAGAATCTGTGCATGTTCAAGCAGGACTTTTGGCTCAACCAATACGACAGCTGCTGGAAGCTGCAGCTTTATAGGTACTGGTTGCTGAAAAAAATCTCCTTTCCAGCATATCCTACCTTTCTTGCAGTTATAGGTGTAGTTAAAAGTGTAGAGCTTATGTTCCCATTATAAACAGAGCATCTATTACACTGTACTGTATGTCAGAGCACAGAAATGTAGAAATGGCATCAGAAGACCCATATTACACTCAGAATCAGCTGAAAGTGGCAAAGGATGCTTAAAAAACCAAAAGAGTTACTGCAAATATATTGAAACTAAAAAGAAAAAAATCAGTATACCAGTTGTTCAAAGAAGGCAGCAAATGCTAACAAGTAACTACAACTCGGTGGAACTCTTCAAATCCTTTTTTGGCTCTGCTATTTCCAACAAGAGCCTCTATGTTCTATCCGGCAATAGTCAGGAGTGAGATGAAGAGAAAGGAATGCTATTGATGGAAACATGATCATGACAATACCTGTTTCTTTTGACTGAGTTTAAACCTCCAAGGTCAGATGATGGGATTCCAGCATATGCAATGAATTTGCCGGTGGTCTGAGCAAACCTTTATTTACCATCTTTGAAGAATCCTGGGGAATGGATGAAATGTCAGATGCCCAAAGATAGGAAAAATGTTCCTACCTTCCAAAAAGGGAAAAATGAGGATCCAAGGCATTACAGACCAGTCAGTTTGGTATCTGAGAAGATGCTAGAGCAATGGTTCTCAACCTCAGCAACTTTGCTGGCTGGGGAATTCTGAGAGTTGAAGTCCACACATCTGAAAGCTGCTGAGGTTGAGAAACACTGCTCTAGAGCATTTCACAACATTTTTTTCCATTTTTCTTCATCCTCATCTGTTCCTTTTAAAGGAACAGAGCAAACCCATTCCATATGATTGACTACATAAAAAAAAACTCGCTGTATGCACAGTGTTGCTCACTGGATTTAAGTCTTAAACCAGAGAATTAGGAGCCTCTTTTCAAAGCATGGCTTGCTTTAACTTTCCTGAAATAATAGTGTGAGAAACCACAATTCTTTATAACGAAGAAAAGTGATGGTTGCAACAGCTGTTTTTAACAGCTGTTATGGGTTATTTACAGGGGTGTCAGGGCCTGTCAAAAAAGTCAAGATGGTGGCCAAGGACATATAATCAGAACCCCACCCCTTTTTATGTGTATCACGTATACAAGGGGCAAGGCTCTGAGTGTACCCTTGTGGCTGCCATCTTGACTAGTTTTATCCCCATCCTTTGGACCTCCTGTTTAGTTACAATGCCCATTGAGAGGTGGTGTTACGTAGATGTAAATAAAGACCAGAAACCTATTTGCTTGTCTAAAAAAAGTTCTTTTTCTTAAAATAAATGTCAGTAAAATGCAGATCTCTCTTTAAGAACCCACTTTTTCCCAAGAACTATACATTGGGGAATTGACATGCATGCCAGTTCCCGCTTCAGGGAGATACCTCTTTCTCCTCTTTCTCCTCCCTTCCTCTGTCTTTTCTTTTTGGCCCATCCAGTCCCCAAAGACCCCATCACCGGCTGCTGCCTTCCAGCAATTCTCTCCCATTCAGGGACTTCCCTGGAGAACCAACCACCAAACGTGAAAGAAAGCTACTGTACACCTTTTTACACAAAGTGCAAGAGTATGACATTGATAGAAAGAAGAATGGAAATTTACCAACAGGGTTATAAAGTGAATGACTATCATATGGTGGCCGTATGATATTGGGATGACAGGGCTAACTGAGTCACCCCTCTGCTGGTTGACTGATTTATCTCTGCATGCCAGAAGCACGCCATTCAGGTCAGTCGGTCTCAACCATTTTTCTAGGTGCAGGGAGGTGGGTCAAAAAAGTCAAGATGATGGCCACAACCATGCAATTGATGCCCTGCCCTTTTTTCACCTAAGTCAAAAAACCAAGATGGTGGCCACCACTGTGCATTGTATGCACATTAAAAAAGGGTGGGGCTTTGATTGCACCATTGTAGCTGTCATCTTGACTTTTTTGACCCTGTGGACACCCATTCTTCCCAGACATCATGAGAAAGCTGGAAGGCTGTTGCTTTCTGCTCCCCCTTTTCACTTCAGGGAAATAAATTAAGGGAAAATCAGAAGTAGCTAATTGGAGGTGCTGTTGCTGTGGTCAGAGTCAAGGAAGCCTGACTCCTTTCCCACCACTTTTGGTTCATTTTCCACCTGCATGGTTGAACAAAGGTAGGAAATACAAAATGAGAAGACCCTGTTTCCATCTCAGAACAAGAACAGGATAGTTAATTCTCCAAAAAACAGTTCCATGACCTGCTTGACCTTGAGAGATTAATTTAGCCCCAAAGAATCCCAAGGCAGTTTGGGGTGAAAAATAACCCCTCTTGAGTTACTTGTGGCAGCTAATTAATTGGATACGGTGTTCACATGGCTAAACTAATCCTGCGGTGATACATGTCAGGACAACATACTGTTATAACAATTGGGGGTGGGCTAGGGAGAGAAACATTTTTATTTCAGAGGATTCCCAGTCACCAAAAATAATGATTGAAATAGGGGAAAAAAATAAGTGAATGTGGAGGTAAATGGGTTTTTGGAACCGGTCACACTGCTTGTAACTTGCAGATTGATCTTACCCCTGTGATCTGCTAGGTCTTAACACAGATATGTTTTAACTGTCTTTTAAAAATTCCTTCTTACTTTGGCCTTCTCTATTTTTTAACTCCCCCTAATATTTGCCTTTTTATGGATTTCTTATTCTGTTTATATTCTGTTGTTTATTGTTTTTTCTCTTACATTTTTGTAACGCATGTAAGCTGTTTCGGAATTTTTAATATACAGAGCAATATATAAATAAATGTAAGAAATAAATACCTTGACTTTGTTTGTTCTCTGGGGCCCCTGTAGCTTTCTGTATTTTGCCAGTTCGTTTGGTTTAATTTTTATTAGTACTTGTTCAGAAGGGGTCCAGGTATGAACTCCTTGAAACCACGCATGTTATATAGTGCTCTGTTATGTGTAGTTCCTGATTCTCCAAAGGACTGTCTGTCTGCCCCTTATAAGCCAGGCCTGTATGAAGACAAGGCCCTGTAAGATGACTATTCTGAAACTTTAGTGATGGAAAGGAGAGGCAGGAGTATCATCCCTAGTTTTCTGAGTAGGGACACACACATATAAAGTCAAGATAGAGAAGGGCTGTAGTTTACTTGAAGACATTTATTGTACATGCAGGAAGTCCCAGTTCCTTGGCATCAACAGAGAGGGCTGGGTTTCTTGTCAGAAGCCTGAAGAAATGTTGCTATTCCGGGACACAGCATTGGGCTATAAGGAACTAATTTGTCTTGGCATAAGACAACTTCCTATGTTGTTAGGCTCTATTCAGTTCATAGAGGAAGCTTAAAGGCTACTAGAATGGTAAAGCTGGAAACCCTGATTCTAGTCCTCCATAAAAGATCCATTTAATTGGTTCCACCAATGATGCTTCAGTAGTTCCCTTAAAAGAACTGAGCCTGGGTAAATTTACAGAGGAAAATCTCATAGGCCAAGTAGGTAATTTAATGTGGTGTACATACTGTGACTTGGCAACCTGATTGTTCTGACCTATACTAAGGCAACATCTTTCCATATTTCTGCAGTCTCTGGAGAGTTCAGAGCAAAAGTTTAATATTACAATTTTCCTCAGTACTTAACAGGACAATATTGATAAACTGAGTAACTACATACATGTGTGATATGCTACAACTTGGCAATGGGTCTTATTTTGACGCATGAACCATTTCCGTATATTTGTACATAGGCTGTTGATCCGTGCTTTGAAATAGTGAATAATAAGTAATGTTACAAACTATGTACACTGTACACAGATGTGCTAATCTATACTTTTATTTATTTAAAACATTTACATAGTCGCCCATCTTGTACTAAACTCTGCAGCTCACAACCAACAGTTAAAACAACAACTGTGTACAATAAAAAATATTAAACCACAAATACTATACCCTGGCACCATAGTTAAACTTTTACATGCAGTCCATCACAAAGTCCTCTTGTCAATTTTACCCTATCCCAGTGCTTGGGGGGAAAGCCAGGTCTTAAGTGCTTTTCAGAAGGTTAAAAGGGTGGGGGCCTGCCAAACTTGAGGGGGAAGGGTGTTTCATAGGCCATGGAAAAGGCACAGTTCCTAAGTCCCATAAGATGGCAACATTTAAGGGAAGGGACTAGGAGCGTGCCCACGCTATCTAATCTGGTAGGACGGGTAAATGTCCTTAGGGAGAGGCGGTCCTGCAGATAACCTGGTCCTGTGCCATATAGGTCTTTAAAGGTAATAATCAGCACCTTGAATTGCACCCAGAAGATAACTGGGAGCCA